TAGTATGCAGATATAATTAGTAGTGTCAAGGCAAAAATTTGCACTTACAGAGGGTAGTATAAATTGAAAAAGCTTTCTGTGATAGGAGGTAAGATATTGTAATAGAAATAACATTTCTGATACACAGTTCTTATAAAATAAGGCAATTTAGAAACTGATATAATAATTAGTTCCAATACAGCAATCACAAGACTGAATGTACAATGCTTAAGGAGTAATTGATAACAATCTTATTATAATGGAGCTTGCAATGTATTCGACTAAAACTCAGACCTCGGAAACTACCCCACCAATCATCACCAATTATAACTGGGTAATATTTTTATAACTAAGCAGTGTTTTTATAGCTGAGCAATAAATAAAACAATTGAAATTCCACAAAAATGATATGTTTCAGATTTAACCAATAAAATTTAAAAAAAAAATAAGTTTCAAATATAAAACAATCAAAAAACAAACTTAAAAAATTATTTGTTTTTCTTTAGTAAAAATCTCATGATTGTTGTAAGAGATAAAAGCAAGGCACTTTTATTGATAACTGCATCTACAAAGAAATACTTCAATAAAATCCACTCCATGATGTAATGCTGTGATGGTTGTTCATTTTTTAAACTAAAATTTCAATAAAATCCTTTTTCTCATGGATGGTGAACATTAATGAATGTCAACTATGAGTACATTGTTGTAGAACTGTCAGATAATTCCAGAAATGGCCACAGACCTGTCTTTTGGCCACAGGCCCAATAGCCTTCCTTAGGAACTAGAAGTTGTACCTGCCCAGAGGGAGGGTATTTCTGCTAGTCCTTTTAATAATAATTACATGAACAACAACAATATGTTTTTAATTAAGCAATTATAAAGATCCTGAGAAGATAAAAAAATCAATGTATATGGACAATTTATTAATTTTGTCATTGTTGTTTACTTATATAACAATAAAAATTTTTTAACTAAAATACAGCACTTTGGGAAGTAAAATACTTTAAGGTTTTTCAAAGGACTCTAAAATCAGTGAAAAACTGACATTTTACCATATAATATGAGTATGTTGTGCCAGGTTTGATGATTAGAGACTAATCCATGTAATTCTTACAAAGATTATTAACCTAAGATATGATCATATTTTTTAATTTCCCGATTAAAAGATGTAAACTGTTGTCTGAAAATAAAATCTTATCTGCATGAAGTTGAAGCTCATACATAATATATTTTGGTCTTTACTAATACTAGTTTAACCGTTACCTGCCATGGCCATTTTGTCTTATCGTGAGGGCAAAATCACATTTGTGAATTGAAAAAATTATAGAGAACTTATCTTTTATTGGATTTCAGATTTTATTTTTGTAAATAGTAACATAACATTCAATTGTTTGTACAAAATTGTATTATTTAATGAAGTTTAAGGAGAAATCTAATAAAAAAATTCCCAAAATACATTGGAGGCTATAAATAAGTGCCCTCTAAGAAGAACATTTGTTTTTCAAAATGTTTTTTAAATTTTTCCTTGCACTTCAGTTCTGGTCCTGCCATCTAAGATTGGTATCTAAACCTTTTTCTAGTCTGTTTTCTTCATAAAACAGCGTCTGGGCATGTTAAACCTCAGTTGTAAAACGTTTAGCCAATCCTAGTTGAAGGTGTCAATTTCAGTACCATATTATTCCAATTGCTGTATTTCACGTTTGACAAATCATAGAATGATAAGTAAAACATGTGACAAAACGTTGTTCTCTGAATTTTACAGTATGAATGTGGGTGGGGCTTATTATAGTAACTGCCGTTTTATGTAGAGGTTGTATTTAGTATTGGTCAATAGTACTTTTTTTTATAACCCTTAGAAAACGTACTTCTAGAAAAAAACTGCATGGGATGTATGCGACTTTTATTATTTTTCTATAGTAGTTTATGTCATGCTGTATCGTATATCTATTTATATTAATCATTATATTGAAAAAGTAACTCAAAATAGATACATTTTTTGGAAAGAAGTTGATCCACAATTTTTAGGGTTAAGAGCTATCGAGTGGTGAGTGCAAAGTCTTTACGTGAAATAGGCTTAGCACTTTGAACTGAAAGAGTTTGTGATTTTTCTAAATTAACTCAAAATAGATATATTTTTTAGGAAAGAAGTTGATCCACAATTGTTAGGGTTAAGAGCTATTGAGTGGCGAGTGCAAGGTCTTTACGTGAAATAGGCTTAGCACTTTGAACTGAAAGAGTTTGTGATTTTTTATATTCTTTTGCATTTAAATTAGTAGTTTTAAGTTCAATAATTTAGCATAATTTTATATTTATTTCATAATAATAATAATAAGATTCAGTATTTAGTATGATAAACTTGTGTGATTTGTACGTAATATTACTAGTGCCACATAAGAATTTTCTATTTTCCTTCTTACTATGTTTACTTTGTAGTAAGACCCACACTTCTGTTATTGTTGCTTTAGAATTAAAACAGTCTAACTGATATATATAAAGTTTATTCTGATATTTTGCAAATGGTTTCAAACTCGGTGTACAAGTGACAACAATAAAACCCATATGATGGTTGTGAAACAGACTAAATACATTCATCTCAATAATACAGGGAAAGCTACGACATTCTCAAAGTTGGGGTCTCAATACACTGAAGAGCTTAAGTTTTTAATTCCAACATAAATCTTGCCTATAATGAGAGGAGTGTGACCAGAACTAATATTTTAAGTGCTGTAAAGTAATTTTCTTTGTAGTTTATGGTGTCTGCATCATATGGTAATCTTTTCTAACAGGATGTATCAACTAGGGTCAGGTGGTGTTTTTCAAACCACCTGTACTTTAAATTATTACATACATCGCTAGTAGTGGCAATTAGTTTGTCTGAATAGTGAAACAACATACAAGGACATATGCTGAAATAAACTTGTTTGAAAGTTCAAAGAAATGATATTCAAGTGCCAAAAAGCTTTCTTACTATCATATCTACTGCAATGTTGAAATGCGCCTGCGCTAGACTGAACAAGAGTGACCACCAACAGGCATGATACTTTACGGCAAATGTAAAAATTTCACGCTGCTAACCTCAAAATTTATTCGGCACAATAAATAAAAGTACAGCTGCAATGAAACATAAACATAAACTTGAAATAAAAATACATTTATGAAAAAAATTAAAATGTTTTTTTATGTACATATATAAACATGAAATCCTAGTTAAAATTAAAAATACTCATTTATTGTTTAGGTTTACTTGGAAATATTATTTTGGGTCTTGTATATTACTTGAAACCATAAGGAAAGTATGTGATTATTAAAAAATTAAAATTAGATAAAATTTGCATTTTATGGATGATAGAATCTACTAAAACAAAAAAGTAATAAGTTCAAATCTGGAACAAATATAAATATCGTAATCATTTCTTATAAATACCATTTCCTAATATAATTTTCCAAAATATTAAAGATTATAATGCAAAAAACTAAATTTATCAAAAGT